TGTCTTGTGGTAACCCTAAACCCTAGACACTAAATCCACAATAAACGCACAATCCGGGTACCCAAATTTCCAGAATCTCAAGATTTCAAGAATTTCCAGCTCAAAACGACGCCCAAACCCTTAGTAACGGTAATAAACCCCGAACCCTGGACTTGGGAAGGTGTTCTTCTACCCCTTGGACCTGTTTGTGGTAGTCCTTTCGATTGTGAGCGAAGTGATGAGTCCGGGTTGCTGTTAAGCAACTTAAGTTAAGCTACCATAATATGGGTACATTGGCTTTTGGATAAACACAATTACCATAATATGGGTATAGACGGTCGAGGGTTTAGGTGTCAAGGTTCAGGTTTACCCTATGGATCTATAGTAAATAATGAGGTTTGCTTCTCACAGTAACTTTGTTTAAAATTTCCCTAACAGTAGCCCAGGAGTTTCGTCATCACCGAAGATCCTCGCCTGGAGATGGCAGAGGACGCAAAAAGTATGGGTCTCTTTGAAGGGGTCATAGGGAATAAATAGGGGTTATATTAGAGCTGTATAAGGTTTAGTAGGCTCAGCATTTAGACTGTGGGGATATTGCCCCAATTATGGAGAATTTGAACAGAACAGGAAATGGAACGTCAAAGGCCGCCTGGGATTTTGTAGTAGTTTAGGAAGTCTGTGGTTTCCGTGAATTACGGGTGCCTTTTTTGGAGGGGGGTATCTGCAACGAGGATTATAGTCAAACCACCATTTACGGATATACAGGGGGATTTAGGGAAATGTAGAGCATATACAGAGTTCAAGGTTTGTCTTAGTAGCTGAGTTTTAGTTAAAACCCATCTATGACCAGATAATGTCCAATAACCCCTCATAGTTCCTTCTTCAGATAGCACCCGCACTTTTTAAGATGCCTACCTAGTTAGGATGTGGGCTTTTGGCATGGGTTAGTGTCGCAAAGCAGGGCGATCCCAATCTTGACCCCTAAACCCTAGACCTATATTCGATGTTGTAGGAACCCCCAAAGGTGGATTCCTTATGCTGGGGAACCTCATTTAAGGTTCAGGTCCATTGGTTAAAGCAAGGTGCAAGTGATGTTTTGAGAGGCAGCCTGGGCGTTGATGGGTTTAGGCTTTAAAAGGGTTCAGTTTCTACACAGCCCAGATTGCCACATGAGGGATGATAAAAAACCCC